GGGGCCGGCGAGTCGGGCGCCGCCCCTGCGGCAGCGGCGGCGGCCCGGGGCGCGGACTACAGCTTCCTGGGGCCCGGGCCCGCGTACGACTTTCCGGGCGCTCTCTCGCGGCCGGCCGACGACAGTGGGGCGCACGTCCACTATGCCACCTCGGCCGTCTTCTCGGGCGGCGGCTCCTTCCTCCTCAGCGGCCAGGTGGATTACGCGGCCTTCGGCGAGCCCGGCCCCTTCCCGGCGTGTCTCAAAGAGCCAGCCGACAGCCACCCTGGGGCCTTCCAGACCGCGTCGCCGGCCCCGGGCACCTACCCCGAATCCACGTCTCCCGCCTCCGGCCTCCCTGCCGCCTTCAGCACGTTCGAGTGGATGAAAGTGAAGAGGAACGCCCCTAAGAAAAGTAAGTACTTGGGCCGTGGATGGAGGCACCTGGGGATGGGGACGGGGCCTCCTCCGCGGATTCACGCTGGGAGCGCGTGTGGCTGTCCCTTTAGACAGCGGTTTAGGTTTTACGGAGGAGACGTCTGGTGGCGTTATTACAGCAGGCGAATTCCACTGAGCGTGCTCCGAGTTCAGGCTTTGAAAATGTGCCAGGCACTGAGAAAACTGCAGGGAGGAGCTCTCTGTGGAGCATTTCTCCTGGACCTACTGTGTTCCTAGAGCAGGGAGGGCTCGCGGTAACTTCGAGTCCAACTCTAGCCCCACGACTCGCCCGCGTCTGCCTCTGCGTCCTCTCGCCCAGCTGATGCTCTCTGTCGTTATGTTGCAGGCAAGCTCGCTGAGTATGGAGCCGCTAGCCCCTCCAACGCCATTCGCACGAATTTCAGCACCAAGCAACTGACAGAACTGGAGAAAGAGTTCCATTTCAATAAGTACTTAACTCGAGCCCGGCGCATCGAGATAGCCAACTGCTTGCAGCTGAATGACACCCAAGTCAAAATCTGGTTCCAGAACCGCAGGATGAAACAGAAGAAAAGGGAACGAGAAGGGCTTCTGGCCACAGCCACCCCTGTGGCCCCCCTCCAACTTCCCCTCTCAGGAACAAGCCCCACCAAATCTGGCAAGAACATGGGAAGCCCTTCTCAGGCCCAAGACCCTTCGTGAAGTTCAGTCTTGAGGCTGAGGAACATTGGCCGGCAGAAGTCGTAGGCCACCCCCACGCCTATCTAGATTTAGGAGCTTAGCTTGGGATGGAGGCCAGCATGGGCAGAAATTAATACGAATTTCAATTGGGAAAGGAAGTATCTTAGTTGGCTTCTGAGTTCCAGGCTGTGTGTGTACAGATTTTGATTCGATGTCTAACTTGTTTGCATATTATCTGTATCTTATCAGGGAAAGGAAAGGTGCCCAGCTGCCAGCCCAGCTCTGCTGCTATGTTGCCTAACAGTCATATGCAATTCTTGGGTGCAGAGTGTAAACCATTAGTTGCTGAGTTCTGCCAACCCTCTGATGTGCTGAGAAGCACACCTGCCCAAAGTTTTTTTCTGGTTTTAATTTAAAGAACAAGGCTACGATGTATTCAACTTCTTAAGATGACCAAGGCTAATAAGGGTCTTACTTGATGTGGCTAAACTGCTTCAATGATGCTCTTCACATTTGCACTCCAGTTTTGCTTTTGTCTTTTCTTTAAAAAACAGTTTCTACCTCTCCACGTGCCTGAGTGAAGATACAATCACTGTTTAGTTTGTAGCTGAACAAATCCACAGGGTGGGTAAAGTTTAGAACTGCAACTACACCCTGACCTCAGTTATTCAAACTTGAATGTAGATATATACAGTATGTATATTTTTTAAGAGTTTTGCTTGCAATGAACTTATATATGACATTTAATGTCATAGCATGTAAAGGGTTTGAACGTTTTTGTAATAAAAATTACAGAATCTGCTACTCTCTGCTTTTCCTTACACTCTTTCATCTTGATTCTTTCTTAAAAGTTCATTCAGTTTCCTCTATTTGGAATTTCTTGATTCTGCTATGGGGATTTATGTTGATAACTTTTAAAAAATAACACTTCTTACAGGTTGCGTACCCACACGGCAAGTTAGGGACAATTATCTGAACTTAAGGGAGAAAACTACTCTGCCAAATATCCAAGTAGCTAAGGAAATACTTTTCTTACTTGAAGTGTCCTAGTTTTATGGCCGGTATGTAGACTGCACATTAATTCAGGGGTTATGTGCTCACTGTGGGAATGTTGTAAAGCCAAGGAGGAAACACTTCAGGGAGATCTCATTCTCCTGTCTCCTATTCTCACAAAAAGAAGAGGAAAGGTGACCTGAAGACTGTTTCTTGCTTAGCGTTCTTTGAGAAGGGCAGTTACACATCAAAAAGTTCTCAGTGCCTGAATTCCCATCTCCAAAGTCAAGAATTACTAAGGAGGCTGGGAGAAAGCCAGTGGGCAGAGCTTTCCAAGTCTCCTAACCCAGGCTGAGCATCTGTCTGACAGAGAGCACAGAGGGTGTCTTTCTGTTTTCAAAAATGAAGTATTTTCAAATGAATTCTTTGGGAGAGGTATAAGCACAAAATTTGAAAGTTGGCAAGGGCCAACTGCCACCCGCACAAACCCTCTATCTTATTTCCACCCAGCCCCCTAATTCTCATCCCTGGAGTCACCCAGAGTTGACCAGGCTTTTGTATTTAAAAAATGCAATATAAGTACACAAAATCAAGTGGATACTTTGAGACACTTTTTGAGAAAGGTCATTTTCCTTACTTTATGGCTATATCTTAAAATTCTCTGTATAGTTCCACAGAAAGAAATAATCCAGATAAGAAATCCGGCTTTCCTATTAGTTAGATTCCTAGATTCCAGTGTAATGCTTCAAATCTGATATTTCAGAAGTCTAAACAATTATGGAGGATTACTTTTCCTATAAAACAACGTGATTACTTGTTTTAGAAGATTGAAATTATGCTTAAATTCTTGTCCTATTCGCCCGTGGTTTAATGGAGTTGAAGAAATAAAATTATCAGCTCTAACAAACTTAGCTGACTAGAGGGAAAAGATATCACTTAAAAAGCAGGTCTGTCAATATTATTCTTATGTTTCACCATCTGCCCTTCAAGAACTTGATGCTAATCGGGTCTGGTTGGAAACAACAGCCCCCACTTTGAGCTCTGCAGCTATTTGAAAGGACTTGTTAAAGGACCTGTGATCTGCTCCTTTGCAGCCACCTCTGGGCTTCCCCTGCAGTGATCTTTGACATGACAATGTTTCCTTTTTGATAAGCATTCAAATGTACACCTAAACAACAATAACAAAAAAATACCAACACGGTTGGTCATTTCCTTAATCTTCCACCCTTTTCTCTGAGAAAATAAAGCTTTTCCTTTTGAAGCTAGTACTAACACTTAACAGCTCTGATGGATGTCTTCCTTGATGAAGGTAGCTATTTTGACATATGTATAATGCTGTTCTATGAATCAGGCCAATATTAGCTATTTTTTGACCAACCCCAGGGATCCTTAAAAGCTTTCTTAATGCAGATCACTACACTGCTATATTCAATAATATATTCCTAATATATTCCTATATTAGAAAGAGTGCTGGCTGGAGATCGGGGTGAACTAGGTGACTAGCTTTCTTAATGCAGATCACTACACTGCTATATTCAATAATATATTCCTAATATATTCCTAATATATTCCTATATTAGAAAGAGTGCTGGCTGGAGATCGGGGTGAACTAGGTGACCTCTGGAGGTCCCTTCCAGCAATGAAAATGCTACAGAAACAACTCAATGACTTCTGCATATTTTATTTTAGGCCTATCACTGGAAGAAAGTTTGGTTCTAAGACATCAGATGTAGTCTCTAGGGTTACAATGATAATTTACAGGAAAAGTGGATTTTTGGCATTATCAAATACATCTTGTCAGTGGAGGTGCCTAGCCGAGGTGGAACAGTAATGGAGCATTCCCCTTCCCATTATTCAGAGCCTTTTGTAATTTCGAGTCAGATCTCCATGAAGTATGAGGTTACTACACAAATTCTGAAACTGCTAAAACAATCCCATTTCTATTTTACAAGATTTCAAACTAAATATGCTAATTCACTCTCCAGTGATCTGTTACAAGAATGAATACACAATGGACAGTTTTGGCAGTTGTATGTAATTAACTATTCAATGTTCCTTTGTCTTCACATAATGACTACGTGTCTACTTTTCTGGATTCAGGATAATTGGGAGTGAGGAAGAAGAAAGCATTTAATAACATATAAATTTTCCATAATTCGAGTACTAGCAAATGAAGGCCTTTCTGATACAAAAACCTAAAGTAATGTCACCTAGATTTTTAAGATATTAATTTCACATAATTTATTCTGCCTCAATCTCAAATATGGTTAGGCCCAACACTGGAAGAGATTATGTCTGATTATGTCATCAGAAAAAAGAAGCAGGCTCAGGAGAGTTGCATTCTCTCTGAAGTTTTTAATTGTTTCTTATAGCTAAATAAATGCTCTATATTTACCGAATATTGAATTTGAAAACCTCAGAGTCTAATCAGGTTCAGAGAGATGTTTAGTCTGACCACAGATCTCTCAACAAGAAAAATGCCCATTGTTAAAACTTGATTTGTGATTTTAAAGTGAAACCATAGTGGACATATCTCACAGATAATGATAAATCTCCATCTAAATAGAAATCAAGATTTTCATGGTTTTTACCTCTATATTATGTTTCTGAGATACAAATATGTAAAATAGTTATATTTCAACATCTCATTTATAATTGTTTCTTAAGTCATACTTGTTATTTGGAAATATAATTTCAATAGAAACTGCTTAACTGGGTTTAATAATGAACCAAGAGGAAAAAAATCCTAAATATTGAAATAAAAGGAAGTTCTGTACTTAGCTTGAAAGGTTTCAACATTATCTCTGGTACTTGTAATAATCTTATTGATATAATTTGGAAAGGAGGGCCAATGAGTGGTCATTTAGACTAGTAACAGCTTATAGGGCAGGTCGCTGACACTTTCAAGGCATTTTTAGAGGGCAGTAGACTATTTAGAATATCCCATTCTTAGGGGTTTTACAAGTCTAAGCTTACACAATTTGGGGGGATCTCTACAAAATCATTAACACAAAATTGCTAAGGCATCTCCCAGGACCAGGAGAACCCACTTTAATGAGGCTTTAGTTCTGCTGGGTTCATGGTAAATTTATCTCTGCTCCTTCCTTGAAACCATTGCTTTACCCCCCCATTGCCCAATCACTGCCTATAAGACAATAGTAATGATTGCTCTTCTCCAACATCTTGGAGCCTGAGTCACCATTTGCTTCTCTTCAAATGCATCAAACGGCAGATAATGGGGACAAGGGCAGGATGGCACCCTGTTCCACTCACCGAACATCTCATTCCCACTCAGTTCTTCTGAGCTACTGGCTGGCTGACTTCAGCCAGTGGGCTTACTTCGCCGTCTTAGAATGGGAGCTTTATCTCACCCTGGAGTTCCTCTTCTGTTGTGTTTCCTTCTCAAAGATACAAACAGAGAGGAAGATATAGCTGTAGACAATACAGCTATACTGTTAGCTTCTAAGCATTTCCCAGAAGGATGAAATCAGTAAGGCTGAGGTAAAGGATCTTGAAAAAATATCATACTTAATGGAAGAGACTTGGATTGGAAGAGAGCTGGATTTTAGCCCAGTTGTGTTTTCTGATTAAAAGGAAAAATAATTGCCCTGGTCTCAGTTTCTGCTATGAAATAAAGTATGATCTGGATGATCATTAAGTTTCCTTATTATCTTAGTATCCTTCCATAATCCTTTACTCTGTTGGTTCTTACTGAAAAGATTATTTAACAAAACCATAGCCCTGTAAGATTAGTGTCAACAAGAGGCTGTTATCTGAGTAATATCTGAGTTCTTAAACATTAATCTACCTGGCTTTAGAACCTGTGTGTGTATATGTGTATGTGAACTAGGTAATGTTTCTTGACTTGATAAACAAAAAGCTAACAATGGTGATGGCCTCCCCAAATTTACCACTTTGAAAAGATAAACTAGGGTCTGATAGGAGACTTTTCAAATGATTGTCAGCATTTCACATTCAGATTCTTAGTCTTCTTTTCCTTAATTCCATACTTTAATTTGGCATCTTTCAGAATAGAGAAATAATTTTGAATCCTTTCTCTTCTTTTAAGACATATGAGATTCCAAAATGAATACTCTGTTCTGTTGAAGAAAAGAAACATGGATAGTCAAATTTCTACTTTTATCCATTAGTCACCACATCCTATTTTCCCTTCAAAATGTCTGGCACCATTTTTCCTTCTCCATTGGCTCAGACTTTATGATCTCTCACTCAGCAATGCAACTGATGCCTCACTGTTTTCCGTGCCTCTAGTCTTCTTTCCAGTCAACCCATTTGAAAGCCCTGCCATCATCATGTTGTTCCACTTAAAACGCTCTAGCTCCTTATTGCCTGTGGGAGAAACTCAAATTTCTTTAGCTTGGGACTTAAGGTTATCAGCATCTCTGTCCAACCATCCTTTGATTGTTAATCTCACACCACTGCCTGACACATAAACTTCACCCCAGTCAGTGTGGTCTGTTTATTCTCTCTCAAAGGAAATGTGTGTTTTTCTGCCTCTGAAACTTTTCTCATCTTTAGCTTGGGACTTAAGGTTATCAGCATCTCTGTCCAACCATCCTTTGATTGTTAATCTTACACCACTGCCTGACACATAAACTTCACCCCAGTCAGTGTGGTCTGTTTATTCTCTCTCAAAGGAAACGTGTGTTTTTCTGCCTCTGAAACTTTTCTCATGCCATTCCTCTCTCTCATAATTACTCCCACCTTTCCTCTGCCTATCTAAAGTCATCTTTTATGGCACAGCTCAAGTCACACCACCTCTGTGAAATCTTTTTGCACCATTCAAAGTT